CCCAATCCCAATTTCGGGATTCGGGACTCGAATCCCAAAGCCCAATCCCATTTTCGGGTCGGGCTCCGTTAAACATAGGCGGGGGGGTTGGGGGGGGGGGCTGCGCCCCCCCCTTGATAGAACTGAACAACTCCGCCAAACCTAGCGGGGGGGTTGGGCGGGGCGCAGCCTCCCCCCGTGATAGAACTGAACAAGAACGACGAAGAACGCCGGGCTTCTGCAAAACAGAGGCTGGGGGGGTTGGGGGGGGGGGGGGGGCAGTTCGCAAAAGATAGGGGGGGGGGGGGTTGGGGGGGGGGCGCAGCCCCCCCATGATAGAACTGAACAAGAACAACGAAGAACGTCGGAGTCCGTTAAACATAGGCGGGGGGGTTCAAAGGCGCAGCCCCCCCATGATAGAGCTGAACATCCTAGATGGACCGAAGAAACGTGGGTGGGTTCGCAAACATAGGGGGGGGGGGGGGGGGGTTTGGGGGGGCGCAGCCCCCATGGATAGAAATCTGAACAAGGACGACGAAACGTCGGGCTTTGCCAAAACATTGCGGGGGGGTTGGGGGCGAGCAGCTCCCCCCATTCCCTTCCTTATGAACTGAACAGAACCACGAAAGAAACTCCGCGGGGCTGTTGCCGCCAAACGAGGGCGGGGGGGGGGTTGCGGAGGGGCGGGGTACCGCAAAACATTAGGCGGGGGGGGTTGTTTTTTTGGGGGTTTTAGTATTTTCTTGGGGGGGGCGCAGCCCCCCCCATTATAGAACTGAACAAGAACAACGAAGAACGTCGGGGGTTGGGGGGGGGCTGCGCCCCCCCCATGATAGAACTGAAGAACTCCGCCAAACATAGCGGGGGGGTTGGGCGGGGCGCAGCCTCCCCCCGTGATAGAACTGAACAAGACGAAGAACGCCGGGCTCCGCCAAACAGAGGCGGGGGGGTTGGGGGGGGGGGGAGCTCCGCCAAACAGAGGCGGGGGGGTTGGGCGGAACGCAGCCCGCCAATTGGCTGTCCGAGAGCCGAGGGCTCGGAATGGGAATTCGGGGTTTGGGATTCGGGATTCGGGATTCGGGATTCGGGATTCGGTCTCAAGGGCCCGGAATTGGGATTCGGGATTCGGGAATTCGGGATTCGGGATTCGGGATTCGGGATTGGGTGCCTGGGTCCTCAACGGCCCGGAGTCTTGAACTTGAACTGAACAAGAACAACGAAGAACGTCGGGCTCCGTCAAACATAGGCGCCCCCCATGATAGAGCTGAACAAGAGCGACCAAGAACGTCTGGCTCCGCCAAACATAGGGGGGGGCGCAGCCCCCCCCATGACAGAACTGAACAACAAAAACAACAAACAACGTCGGGCTTCGCCAAACATAGCGGGGGGGTTGGGCGGCGCGCAGCCTCCCCCCATTCCCCCCATTATAGAACTGAACAAGAACCACGAAGAACTCCGGGCTCCGCCAAACAGAGGCGGGGGGGTTGGGCGGGGCGCAGCCCGCCAAACAGAGGCGGGGGGGTTGGGCGGAACGCAGCCCGCCAATTGGCTGTCCGAGAGCCGAGGGCTCGGAATGGGAATTCGGGATTCGGGATTCGGGATTCGGGATTCGGGATTCGGGATTCGGGATTCGGGATTCGGGATTGGATGCCCGGGTCCTCAAGGGCCCGGAATTGGGATTCGGGATTCGGGACTTCGGGATTCGGGATTCGGGATTCGGGATCCGGGATTGGGTGCCTGGGTCCTCAACGGCCCGGAGTTGGGATTCGGGCTTCGGGATTCGGGATTCGGGATTCGGGATTCGGGATTGGGTGCCTGGGTCCTCAGCGGCCCGGAGTTGAGATTCAGGATTCGAGATTCGGGATTCGGGGTTCGGGATTCGGGATTCGGTGCCTGGGTCCTCAACGGCCCGGAGTTGGGATTCGGGATTCGTGATTCGGGATTTGGGATTCGGGATTCGGGATTCGGGATTGGCTGTCCGAGAGCCGAGGGCTCGGAATGGGAATTCGGGATTCGGGATTTTCGGGATTCGGGATTCGGGATTCGGGATTCGGGATTCGGGACTCGGGATTGGGTGCCTGGGTCCTCAACGGCCCGGAATTGGGATTCGGGACTCGGGAATTCGGGATTCGGGATTCGGGATTCGGGATTCGGGATTGGGTGCCTGGGTCCTCAACGGCCCGGAGTTGGGATTCGGGATTCGGGATTCGGGATTCGGGATTCGGGATTCGGGATTCGGGATTCGGGATTCGGGATTGGGTGCCTGGGTCCTCAGCGGCCCGGAGTTGAGATTCGGGATTCGAGATTCGGGATTCGGGATTCGGGATTGGGTGCCTGGGTCCTCAACGGCCCGGAGTTGGGACTCGGGATTCGGGATTCGGAATTCGGGATTCGGGATTCGGGACTCGGGATTCGGGATTCGGGATTCGGGATTGGCTGTCCGAGAGCCGAGGGCTCGGAATGGGAATGCGGGATTCGGGATTCGGGATTCGGGATTCGGGACTCGGGATTGGGTGCCTGGGTCCTCAACGGCCCGGAATTGGGATTCGGGATTTGGGAATTCGGGATTCGGGATTCGGGATTCGGGATTCGGTGCCTGGGTCGGCCCGGAGTTGGGATTCGGGATTCGGGATTCGGGATTCGGGATTCGGGATTCGGGATTGGGTGCCTGGGTCCTCAGCGGCCCGGAGTTGGGATTCGGGATTCGGGATTCGGGATTCGGGTCCCCAATCACATTCTCCGGGAGCTTCTCCGGATCACGTCTCGCTTTGGGGTAGGTGCCCTACACTGAAATCCAAGCTTTGGGAGTGCCATTTGCATCCCTCGCCCTGTGAACATCAACCCAAAGGGCGACTCACTCGTAAAGCCAAACAGTCACCTGAACCACAATCAAAACTCTAAATCTTTACATGTTTCTGGGTTCACTTTAATACCAGGTTTTGATTGTGACTCACCTGCGGGGTGCAGCAGGGAAGCGGGTTGCTGCGCTCGAAATATGCCATGGGAGTTTTTCGGGCAGGAGTACGTACCGATGCTCATGCAATATCCGCAAGCTGAAGTTCTGACTTTGCCCTTTCTGCCGCAAGAGATGCTAGGTCCCCCAGTAGTGCCCTTTCTCACCCTTTTTTGGTGGAGGGTTCCACTACTAAAATAGACGACAGACGAAAAAGTGGGTACCCTTAGTCTAACGTCTCAAGTCTGGAGGACCTAGGATGGGCAAACCTGCACGCGGAGCTTCAGGTGCCAAGAACGCCCAGTCGCTGCGCATGCAGCTCCCCTTCTCAGCGCTGCTTGCGCAGAAGCTGTGGCGCGCTTAGGAGGTCTCCTGGAACCCGGTGGACTCCTGGCCAAGTGACTAAGTGGCGGTTTTCCTTCAGGCGACTATGTAATACTTCCACTTGCTTAAGAATATTTTAAGCTTTTCCTTTTGTAGGCAAAACACCGGTACCAAAATGGAACCCTGGTAAGTGGAAACCTGGACCAAAACCTGCGTCACTGCCATATATATATATATATATGTTGTTTTGGGTATTTGTTGTTTTTCCCGGGGGGGCCTTAAGCAAATGGAAGAGACGAAGTCGATTCTTCATTCCGAAACCCTGGATCTTGGCCTTCCGGGGGGTGTCCCATGGCCTTCCTCAGTTGTTCAGTGGCACCCATTCTTCTTCCCCTTTTTTTTTGGGTGGCTGCCCCACCAAAATTAGTCTTCCCAAAAAAAGGGTTCCCTTTTGCTCCAGGGTCACTGAACAACTGAGCTTCTGGAATCCTTCAGTTTTGGAGACTCGAGGTTTGTTCATTCGGACTGACGGTGGTAAGAGCCTCCTCAGGCATGAATGCGTGACTGAATCCAAGCTTGCGAGAGCCTCAGTGGCTGGTCTGCCCGTAGCCGGCACTGCTTAAAGTCCCAACAAATCAGATGCAAAACTGAGTCGGTTGGTGTGCCCGGGCATTTGGCATGTTGTCCAGATACTTTGTAGGTACCAGGGTAACTTACTGGTTTTGCTGTGATGCTACGTGCTTTGTGGTGGTCAGGCAATATTTCCGTGGTTTGTGCTCTTGCACTTGCAGACCAAGCACGTTCAGGCGCGTTAACGCAACCATTTGGAAGAGCGGCTCGCCTGGCAAATTCAGGACTGCAGTGTGGGGTTGGTGTACACTCCGGCCACCCGGCAGCAAGTGAGCCTGCAGAAGCCCAGTGGAGCCATCAAAATCGATGACACCCCCGGGCGTCCCATGAGCAGGTGAAGGGAATCTCAGCCTTTGATTTGCTTGTGTTTGGGTACCTGGAGTCTCCTTCCAACCCCTAGAAAAAGGGCTCATAACTGTAACCCCTAATTTTGGGTTACCCCATTTTTCAAGGGTCGGAAGCAGACTCCAGAAAAACTCGCCACGGTCTCTCCAGGTCTCGGCGTGTTTCTCCAGCCTAGCTTACGACCAGCTCCTTGCGGCCCTGGGGTTCCAGGCAATGCGATGGTTCCATCCTGCGGATTCGTATCACAATCAAAACCCGGGTAGATGAAGGTCAGTCAGGGGCAATCCCCTTGCCAGAAATAGCTTCGGCCGCCTTGTGTTTCCTTTACATGGTTCTTGGAAACACATTTTACGACCGGGTTTTAATTATGACTCCATCGGATGGGGGCGAGATTCCAGAAATCGCAACCGACACCAAGGGTTGAAAAACACGGACATTTCTTGGGTTCCGGGTTGAAAAAAATGGGTGTTTGGTGGTATTTACAGGGGAATCGAATCATTCCAGGACATTTCTTGGGTAAAGAACGGATGGTTTGCCTTTGGTGTCCCTAAACTGGGCTGTGCAAAGGCAATCCTTCCAGGCTGAACCATGCTTGAAACCAAAACCGTTCTTGACATTTTGGGGATTCGAACATCAACCACAAAAGCCATCGCCCACAGTAGATCCACGTGGCTGTGGGTCAAAACCAATGGTACCATTTTTGGTAGGTAGGTGAATTCACCGCCCATTTTAGAACCGATTTGAAAAAGGGGATTGAATCGGATGTTCACTGGCGGATATCCGGAATTTTGACCCACATGGAAGCCCGGAGAAACCTCGTGCCGTTGTCCCCGGCAGGAAATCCGGGACAGCATCGGCGCCAGGCCTGGCACCGGGCGCGCCAGGGCGAAGAGATCAATGGGAAAATTTTGGGGTGGCGCCCAGCGATTCATCCGGTTCCTTAGCTGTTTTTGGCCTTTAAAAGTTAAGCTTTAGCGTTAGTTAGTTGTAGTTAAACTTTAAAGTTTCCTTTTAGGCGTTTAGTGTTTAGTGGTAGGTTCCATTTGTCCCACTAAAAGTTAGTCACTTTGAGCGGGGGATCTGAGGGCAGCCCCGAAAAGAGCATCCGCCGTGAGTGTTTCGCGGCTTTAGCTTGGACCAATGAACTTGCTCTTTCGGGTGTTTTCTTTATTGGATCAAGGAACTTGAGGGCGGTGCTCTTTGTCCTGCGGCTTGCGAAATCTGAGCTTCGGCACGAAGTGCAAGGGTTGAAACCATCACGCTTTGATAAGTATTTACGTGGGGACCGGATCATAAATCAACAGCGGTGTCTGAGTTCGGAGACTTTTTTCGGCGAAGGCCACTGAGAGGTTGGGGAAACCAAACAGCTCATAGCTCCCAAATTAAACCTGGGCCCAAAATGGGGGGAACACCGCCCAAGTGTTTCGTGTACCTGGACCAACATGGGGAATGCCAGCCGTGTTCTATTCAAGGTCAATGGGACTCGGTTTCCTGATTTCTACCGCTCAGGCATGCGCCCTTGCTGTCGGAGGATTTCCTAGTGGAGCGCAAGGCAGAGCTGAAGCAGCATCTTGCAGGACACTGAGCTCAAAAAAAGGCAGAGCAGAGTGTGTGGGTGTGTCGAGGCTTCAATCTTTTCAATTATGCCAAACAGTCCACTTGGGAGCAAAAGTCCGAAAACTCCGCTTCTCAAATTGTCCGAAAACTCCCCCTTCGCCTGAAAAGTCGGAGCTTTTGGCACCCACGTTGCCAGGACACGGTACGCATGGGCCTTAAGAATCTCAGAGTGATGTTCTGCGCATCTTGTGTTGAGTTTCTTTGCGCATCTTGTGCCCTTGAGCAAGGACTTTGCAAGTGCGTAATAGCCTGGAGATAGCGAGAAAAGATTGAGCCTTAAATTGCGTATTTTGATTGCTTTGCTGAGTTTCATGTGACACTAAGTTGGACCAATAATGTGCCAATAAGACCAGCTTCCAGTCTCCAGACTGCTCAGAGCATGATGCAAGCGGTACATGTCAATCAATGGGTTCGCAGTTCTCTCTCACGTTTGTGTTTGTTGCTTGTAGTGTTATTGTTGCCCTTTCAACAGCATCGCAAAGGGTTCTTCAAGGAGCACTTGACAGATTGCGCAGAGATTATACCAAGACGTTGCACCAAGAGATGTCAGGAAGGATTCACCGAGAGATGTCAAAGAGAGATTGCACAGGAGGCCTGCCTGCCTGCCTGCCTGCCTGCCTGCCTGCCTGACTGCCTGCCTGCCTGCCTGCCTGCCTGCCTGCCTGCCTGCCTGCCTGTCTGTCTGTCTGTCTGTCTGTCTGTCTGTCTGTCTGTCTGTGTGTTTCTCTTTGTTTGTGTGTTTCTGTCTGTCTGTGTGTTTCTGTTTGTCTGTCTGTTTGTTTCTGTCTGTTTGTCTGTCTGTCTGTCTGTCTGTCTGTCTGTTTGTGTGTTTCTCTTTGTTTGTGTGTTTCTGTCTGTCTGTGTGTTTCTGTTTGTCTGTCTGTTTGTTTGTTTCTGTCTGTCTGTCTGTCTGTCTGTCCGTCTTTGTCTGTCTGTCTGTCTCTGTCTGTTTGTTTGTTTCTGTCTGTCTCTTTGCTTCTGTCTGTTTGTTTGTCTGTCTGTCTGGTTGTTTGTCTGTCTGTCTGTCTGTTTGTCTGTCTGTTTGTTTCTGTCTGTTTGTCTGTTTGTTTCTGTTTGTCTGTCTGTCTTTGTCTGTCTGTTTGGCTGTGTCTGTTTGTTTGTTTGTTTGTTTCTGTCTGTCTGCTTGTTTGTTTCTGTCTGTTTGTCTGTTTGTTTCTGTTTGTCTGTCTGTCTTTGCCTGTCTGTTTGGCTGTGTCTGTTTGTTTGTTTGTTTCTGTCTGTTTGTTTGTTTGTTTCTGTCTGTTTGTTTGTTTGTCTGTCTGTTTGTTTGTTTGTCTGTTTGTTTGTTTGTGTATTTCTGTGTGTTTGTGTGTTTTTGTTTGTTTGTGTGTGTTGTGGTTTGTTTGTTTGTTTTTGTTTGTTTGTTTTTGTTTGTTTTTTTGTTTGTCTTTATTTGTTTGTTTGTCTTTGTGTGTTTGATTGTTTGTTTTGTTTGTATTTGTTTGTGTTGTTTGGTTGTTTGTTTGTTTGTTTATTTGGTTTTTTGTTTGTTTGTTTAGGAAATTGAGAAGTTTTTTTTGCGATAGAAAATTTGTTTTATAAATATTGCGTTTTTTTTGTAGAGTAATATTGTTTTTAATAAGATATAATATTTATGTTATATATTTTTTGATTTGATTTTTTAAGGAATTAGGTTGATTCGAAATTAATTTGGTTATTAAGCAAGGTGGATTTTGTTTATATGGTGTTAATATATATATATATATATATATATATATATTTTGGTGTTGTATGTAATTTGATATTGTTTATGAAGGCTTTATATTATGTTATGTGTTTTTTATTTTGTGATTTTTTTTGTTTTTAGGATTCGAGAATGGAAATACAAAAAATATGTTTTTGGTAATTATGGATGGATTGGATATTGAGATAAAATGAAGTTTATGATTTTTTATTTATATGATGGATGAAAAAAATATATTTTATATTTTAGGATTATATGGACCTAATTTAGAACCCGTGCTTTGTTTGAATTATAGAGAAATTATGATTTGGTAAATGAAAGGCATTGGGAGGCGATGTTTGATCGCTTACATAGGTGATTTTGGAGATATATTTTAAGGATGATGAATTGGCTATTTTGATTTTGTTTGTTATTATTGATGATTGTTTCGATTTTGATGTATGGTGGTGTTTTTTACGATTGTTTTTTAATTTGTATTTGGTAGAGTTATTATTTCTTGAGTTACGAAGAATTTATCTCTTTTGGATCGAGATTTTTGGTTTTTTTTGTGTGTTTGGTTTGGGTCTCGTTTTCGGAGCGAGGATATAATCTCCGTGCCGAAACTGGCGTTGGGTTGTGGGCGGATAAGATTTTATTTTTCGATTCAATTTGGCGTTAATGGTCTCGAATATTTCTATATATTTGGGGAAATCTTTAACCTTTTTTAGAGATTTAGGCGAAATATAGATTTTGTATTTGTTTTGTTGTTGTTTAAGTTTTTTTGTTTTTTGTTTATTTGTGTTTGTTTGGTTGTTTTGTTTGATGTTCTATATATTTATTTATTGATTTAAATTATGTTTGTTAATTTATATAATATGAATATTATTGAAAAATGAGTAAGGATTTGCAAATATATATATATATATATAGTTATTGTATTTGTTTTATTGAACTTGTTTTCTATTTAAATGATATAAATCTCATTGGTAGTGTTAGTTTTGTGATAGGTTGATGTTAAATTGGGATATTAATCGATATAATATATAATATATTTTTAGGGTTTGGGTATTTTTGTTTACAAAATGAAAATAATGTATTTGTTAGGAAACTTATATATGGTGTAGTTTGCAAAAATAATATTTTAATATTTCTCTTTCTTAGAGTATTATATTTATTATGAAATGTGTATTTGATTTAGGTTAAATAAGTGATACGAAGGATAGAATATTATGAATTTTTATATGGTAGAATATTTTATGATTCAATTCTCGAAATTTGGATAATTTTGGTTAGCAGTTAAGATAAGGTCTGCGCTAGTATGCGTGTTAATTATGTGTATATGGTTTATTGACATTGATTATTATATAACGATTATGTATTTATATGGCTCGAATGATATAGACCCCTATGAAATAATAATTTATATTATAAAATTGGGAATTTATATTTTGATAATTAGCAACATATTGTGTATTGTGTATTATATATATTTTTAATTATGTATATTTATGAGTTTTAATATATTTATATTGAATTATGTTATTTAAAATATTCATTTTATATAGGATATTAATTAATCGAGAATTAAAGATATTATAGTATTTACTCTATAAAACGAAACCGTGAAACTTGCTCGTCGCACTTGCGCGCGTTTTCCCGGACCGCTTTTCCGAAAAATCCAGGATATTTCGGAAAATTGGTCCGGACTGCCCCTGGAAGATGTAACCGCTTCATAATTCCTGCGGATCGCTCGCCCAAATCTGTCCGGGCTACCCCGGGCATATGTGCGGAAGACATAGTGGCTTCATCTTTTGTGGGGACCAATTTCCCGAAATATTCTAGATATTTCGGGAAAACGGTCCGGGAATCGCAGCCATCCACCATTTTCTTAAAATATTCCGAATATTTTAAGGACCATTTTCCCGAAACATTCCAAATATTTCGGGAAATGCTATCGTCGAAATATCCGGAATATTTCGGAAAAATGGTCTGGAGCGCGACTATCGAAATATCCGGGATATTTCGGAAAAATGGTCCGGGCTTTGAACGAAGTCGTTGTGTCTCCCCATCCGTAGCCGTTGAACGAAGCCGTTGTGTCTTCCAGATAAAGAGTCGGGGCATATATCTGCCTGTCCGTAGCAATTTTGGCTGAAATCTTGGCCCATCTTCCGAGAGTTTGGCGATGCGAGAAGCTGTGAGCCGCGGCCGATTGTTGCGACCAGTGGTGTGTTTCCCCATGCTTTGGGCGAAATCAGTTCGGCTTTGCTTGCACCCAGGATGTTTTCTGGTCGATCGCGTTTTCGCTTGCGCTTGCAACAACTGCGTGTGTGGATGGATCTTTTGAGGCCAACAGCCCGCGGATCCGTTCTCACCTTGCTCAGGCGACCGCCTTTCACTGACTCTTTGGCGTGACCTTATCGCGACCAGCCCGGCCCTCAGTGCGTCTCGCGACCTGTGTTTGGAGAACGGCAGCATGCTTTTCGCATGCGACGAGAAAACATTTTTTGATACGTATGAGATGATAAAATATGTTGGTGCCTGAGTTGTAAAACATGGCTTGCCGGCGCGGTCTCTGTAAGATCTGGAGCTTGGCCCCTGAGAGCTTGGCCCTTTTTTGGCACCCGCCTCAACGTACCCTTAATTGCTGGTTTGGACTGGTGGTTTGGGGGTTTGAACCCCTGGATCATGTTGAAGTTGAATGGGAAACCACCCCCTAACCTCCAAACCACCGATCCAAACTACCAATCCAAACCGGGCCGGTAGCGTGCCCAGTCCTGCAACCACCTCCTGGCCGCGGGAGCAGCAGGGCAGCGCCGAGACAAGCGCAAACCGTTTCCCACTGGCTCGCTCCACTGGGCGAGGGTGCCAGGGGACAAGCGGCCAGCGGCCGCGTGCAACTGGGGCACGCGCAGCCGAGAGCTCGCACGCGCGTTCTTGCAGCCCGTCTGCATCACGGCTCCCGGGCTCGGAGTCGGACGCGTGCGCAGGTGAAGCCTGTGGCATGTTGACATCAGAATCCGGCGCGCTGCGCGCCGGAGGTGTGTCTCTTTTTGTCTCTGTCTCTCTGTCGGTGTCTTTCTCTGTCTCTCTTTGTCTGTTGGTCTCTCTGTCTCTGGTATCTGTTTCTTTGTCTGTCTGTCTGTCTGTCTGTCTGTGTCTGTCTGTCTGTGTCTGTCTGTGTCTGTGTCTGTCTGTGTCTGTGTCTGTGTCTGTTTGTCTGTTTGTCTGTGTCTGTGTCTGTGTCTGTGTGTCTGTGTGTCTGTGTGTCTGTGTGTCTGTGTGTCTGTGTGTCTGTGTGTCTGTGTGTCTGTGTGTGTGTGTCTGTGTGTCTGTGTGTCTGTGTGTCTGTGTGTCTGTGTGTCTGTGTGTCTGTGTGTCTGTGTGTCTGTGTCTGTGTGTCTGTGTGTCACGCGCAGCCGAGAGCTCGCACGCGCGTTATTGCAGCCCGTCTGCGTCACAGCTCCCGGGCTCGGAG